AGTAGATGTCACTGCTGTTTCCACAGCTGTTTGTATGTCTTTCCAATCAACATCTGGGTCAGCCTCGTTTTCAGAACTACCTAAGTGTGACCTCAGTTGTTCCTGGAACCTACTTTTGGTTTTCTCATTACTCAATTCGGTTCTCATGAGTTTTTTGTGTGGCTTTTTTGCGTCCAGTGAGGCGCAAGCAGATGCGTGCTCGTACTAGGGCATGGTCGGAGTCCAAGCAGGTACTCCAGAATGAGCGACAATCTTCTATCGACCCTCTCCAACGATGACTGATGGCAATATGGTCTATTTGAGTCCATCGTTGGTTTGGTGCAGGGGGTCGCCATGTTAGACGCTGTCTCTCCTTATGCTTAAAATTTGTGTTTGCTAAAAATAAACGATTGTCTGAGCACAGTTGCAGCAGACGATCACCATTATCTGTTCTCTGTGCCGGAATACTAAAATACCCACCTAAATGTCTTTCTGTTTCGTTTAAGCTACCTACCTGGGCATTAAAGTCGCCTCCTACGAGTACTATGTCTGAACGTTTAGCTTTCTGAAGTTCAGAGAGTTTTCTGTAAAATTCATCTTTCACTTCATCCGAACTGCAGTCAGTGGGAGCGTAGGCAGAAACGACGTGTGTCCCTATCCTTTCGAGTTCTTACGGAGCTGTTTAGCCGAACAGCGCATAGACGACTATTAACGGGGATCCACTTTAATAGCGCTTGTTCCGCCCTCATGCTTAGTGCTATGCCTACACCTGCAAGTCCACGAGAACTAGCCATCGGGTCGCCAGATACACGGAGGGTGTATCTCGCCGGCACTCCGTTTTGCCGAGGTGAGGTCAAGTGAATGACCACACTAGGATCCTGTATGCGTGTTTCGGAGACACAGCATACATCAATCGTACGAGATTCTAAGATTTTAGCCAAGGAAGCCTGCTGACCGATTTGGCATAGTGTGCGTACGTTGAAGGCTCCAACGTATAGTTTGGAGCGAGGTTTCAGTAGACCTGGGACAGTGTTTTGCGCACTAGGATCGTTGGCTGTGGTGACACTTGAGGAGGAAGCTAAAAGAGGAAGTTTAGTGTATAAAGTCGATGTAGGAGGAATAATAGGAATTGAAGAGGGAGGTTGACTATGAATACAGTGGTCTTGAGTGCTGTTAGAGGTAGGAGGGCGATTATCACTTCCCGGTTGCCCACACCGTGGAAGGGTTCTGCTGGAGGTACCTGAAAAGGAAATTGGATTAGAGTTGGTCATAGTGACCGCAGTGCCCAAGGGACAGCTGCTTGAGGTCGGTCACACACGACCTTTTTATGAGTAGTTTTAGTGTTAGCTCCGTACTTGTTGAGTCCTTACCGTCGGAGACGGATATCCATGGGATAAGGCGAGGTGTGCATTTTTAGGATCGACCTTTTCTAACCCCACCCCTCCTTGTGGGAAGGCAGCATCGCTGTCATGCTGGTTTTCTGAAGGAAACACCTTACTGCTGTCACACCTCTGTACAGTCAGCAGTACGACTTCGCCTTCGGACCTTGGTTTTGTTGCTTTTAGTGTTACCGCTCTTCAACCGACCTGTCTGGCATGGTAGGACCTTGAGGAACGGTTGTTCCAGCCAGTATAGCCCGACCACCACGTCAAGGTAGCACCAACGGTCAGTAAACAAGAACATATTTGTACACTACAATGTTTGTTAACAATATGAATCTGGTTAAATCAAATTAGTTTAACCAGGAAATGAACTACCGAGAGGAAGAATTGAAAAATCATAGACTATAAGTAGTTCATAACTCCGCCTGGAGTCCCTTTCGGGGGGCTACTGCCGGTCCCAAGCACGGATAAAGGAGGAGGGTTGGGCATGGGGTTAGAGACCTTATCCCGTAGAAAACTAACTCGCTAAAAAAACACTAACCAGAAAAAATTATTCAAACCATTTAAACTCTGCCCTGGGAGTCAGGAGGTCTTCGTTTAGAAGAATTATGACGCCTCATGATGAAAGCCGAGTTCCTTCGGATGTCACGAGGCCGATGCCCCTTCTGACAACCAGAGCAACCATTTATTTAGGTACATGGAATGCTCGCACAATGTGGGAGACTGGGAGAGTTTTCCAAATTGCTGCAGAAATGAGGAGATACAATTTAGAGGTGCTTGGGATCAGTGAAACACATTGGACGCGAGTTGAACAACAAAGACAAGCTTCATGGGAGCTGCTGTTATACTCCGGACATGAAGAAAAAAATGCCCCAGATACACAAGGAGTAGCATTGATGCTATCCAAACAAGCACAAAATGCACTCATAGGGTAGGAATCTCATGGACCAAGGATCATCAAAGCCTCCTTCAAAACAAAGAAAGGAGGTATTACTATGAACGTCATCCAATGCTGTGGGCCTTCCAACGACTACAATGAAGACGCTCAAGATCAATTCTACGATAGGCTGTAGTCAATCGTCGAGAAGTGCCCAACAAAGGACCTGACTATTCTGATGGGAGACCTAAATGCCAAGGTTGGAATAAACAACACCGGATATGAAGACATCATGGGACGACACCGACTGGGAGAAAGAAACGAAAATGGTGAGAGATTTGCAAACCTATGTGCCTTCAATAAACTGGTCATAGGCGGCACTATATTCCCACATAAACGCATACACAAAACCACATGGACTTCATCGGATCACACAACACAGAACCAAATCGACCATATCTGCATCAACAAAAAGTTCAGGAGGACGATGGAGGTTTGAGGACCAAGAGAGGAGCTGATATAGCATCAGATCATCACTTGCTGGTCGCCAAGATGAAATTGAAACTCAAGAGGCACTGGACAACGGGGAGGACAATATCACAAAAATTTAATACGGCTCTTCTTCCGGATAATGACAAACTCAACAAATTCAAGATAACCCTCAGCAATAAGTTCCAGGCCTTTCATGATCTACTCAATGGAGAAGAAACTACTATGGAGAGCAACTGGAAAGAGATAAAAGAGGCAATCACTTCAACATGTCATGAGGTTCTGGGCCAAAAGAAGCACCATCACAAGGATTGGATCACGGTCGATACACTGGATAAGATTCAAGAAAGGAGGAACAAGAAAGCAGCAATCAATACCAGTCGAACAACAGCAGAAAAAGTCAAGGCACAGGCTGAATACACAGAAGTAAACAAGCAAGTGAAAAGGAGCATCAGAACTGACAAACGTAAATATGTCGAAGATTTGGCATTGACGGCGGAAAAGGCTGCGAGAGAAGGAAACATGAGACAACTGTATGACACAACAAAGAAACTCTCTGGAAATCACCGTAAACCAGAACAACCAGTGAAAATCAAGGAAGGCAAGGTAATCACCAGCATTGAAGAACAACGGAACAGGTGGGTAGAACACTTCAAAGCACTGTTGAATCGACCAGCCCCACTGAACCCACCCAACATCGAAGCAGCACTCACGGACCTCCCAATCGATGTTGGCCCACCAACAATTGAAGAAATCAGAATGACTATCAGACAAATCAAGAGTGGCAAAGCAGCAGGACTAGACAGCATTCCAGCAGAGGCACTGAAAGCAGATGTAGCGGTAACTGCAAGGATACTCCACATTTTCTTCAGCAAGATTTGGGATGAGGAACAGGTACCAAAAGACTGGAAAGAAGGACTTCTAGTCAAAATACCAAAGAAAGGTGGTCTCAGCAACTGTGATAACTACAGGGGAATCACTCTTCTCTCAATACCAGGAAAAGCCTTCAACAGGGTATTGTTAAACAGGATGAAGGACTCCGTAGATGCACAACTTCGCGACCAACAGGCAGGATTCCGTAAGGATAGATCGTGCACAGACCAAATCGCAACTCTACGGATCATTGTGGAACAATCAATTGAATGGAATTCATCACTCTATATCAACTTCATCGACTACGAAAAAGCATTTGATAGCGTGGACAGAACAACCCTATGGAAGCTTCTTCGACACTACCGCGTGCCTCAGAAGATAGTCAATATCATACGGAATTCCTATGATGGATTAAACTGCAAAATCGTGCATGGAGGACAGTTGACAAAGTCGTTCGAAGTAAAGACCGGTGTCAGGCAAGGTTGCTTACTCTCACCCTTTCTCTTTCTCCTGGTGATCGACTGGATCATGAAGACGTCAACATCTGAGGGGAAGCATGGGATACAGTGGACAGCTAGGATGCAATTGGATGATCTAGACTTCGCAGATGATCTAGCTCTTCTATCGCATACGCAACAACAAATGCAGGAGAAGACAACCAGTGTAGCTGCAGCCTCAGCAGCAATAGGTCTCAATATACACAAAGGGAAAAGCAAGATTCTTCGATACAACACAGCATGTAACAATCCAATCACAATTGACGGAGAAGCTCTGGAAGATGTAGAAACCTTTAAATATTTAGGCAGTATCATTGATGAACACGGTGGATCTGATGCAGATGTGAAGGCACGGATTGGCAAAGCAAGAACAGCATATTTACAACTGAAGAATATTTGGAACTCAAAACAATTGGCAACCAACACCAAAGTCAGAATTTTCAATATAAATGTTAAGACAGTTCTACTATATGGGGCGGAAACCTGGAAAACTACGAAATCCATCATCCAGAAGATACAGGTGTTTATTAACAGTTGTCTACGCAAAATACTTCAGATCCGTTGGCCGGATACTATTAGCAACAACCTACTGTGGGAGAGAACAAATCAGATCCCAGTGGAGGAAGAAATCAGGAAGAAGCGCTGAAAGTGGACAGGACACACATTGAGGAAAGCACCGAACTGCGTCACAAGACAAGCCCTCACATGGAATCCTGAAGGCCAAAGAATACATTACGCCGAGAAATGGAGATAGATATGAGAAAAATGAACAAGAACTGGATGGAACTAGAAAAGAAGGCCCAGGACAGAGTGGGTTGGAGAATGATGGTCGGCGGCCTATGCTCCATTGGGAGTAACAGGCGTAAGTAAGTAAGTATAAGTATATAATTAGTTCATACTAACCTCTGGGTTTCAAAGCACTCGATCCTGATGATGATGGATTCACTTCACTGAGTAGAGGGTGCTGTAGAAAATAAATGAAAAGTGAAGTGTTCAATAACAAAAAGTCATGCATTCTATGCACACGGAGACAGTTTGCACTACTGCATTGTTCTAATAAATAAAATTCCTAATGTTATGACTTATATGCAGACTATGACACGACCATTCTCTAAACCTTTTAACGTAAAGGCCTAATCCATAAAAAAGATAGAGCAATGAAAGGATGTGTAGTATCATGGTAGTGAAAAGAAAAAGTAGGTTCATAAGCGATTTACTTCTTTAGGATCCTATGGCGCATGTGTACTATTAGTTTGAAGCTGGCGTTTTTCAGCTCGTGTTCTTGTTGAATAGTTCTCAAGTACGCTTCTGATTTCTCTATAAGTGTCAACGTATTTTTTACTGTTATCGCCTGTAGAGGTTGAGGAAAAATTCTTTCTCTATTTTTTATTTGTTGGGGGCAGAGTTGACGGTTTTTTTTAGAATATAACAGGGATTTCCTTGTGCTTGTTCATGTGAGTTGTGTAGCCACTCTAATGCATAAGAAACCGTAATAGACGGTTCATAATTGTTTAAACTTATTAGAATAAGCGGTTTGATAGTAGCCACGACGATAAAGGATTTAGTGATAAGTTCTCAAAAACAAAGGCTAAAACAAGTGAAGAAGAACATTGAAAAAACATCAACAGTGAATAAGCTACATTTCAACAACATAGCACGGAGTAACCGCCTGAATGTGGTCAGTTGTAATCATTGACTCATCACGTTCTATAAAAGGAATCGGAAAGAATAAAGAACTCTGAATGGGTTACCTCAAGTTGTCATCTTCATCAAACCAAAAATACTAGCTAAGTGGATCGAGTGTTAGATAACCTCAATACTTTGACTAGTTTAATAAATTTACAGTTTATATTGCTCTTGTCATACTTAGTGTTTATAAAACCAAATAATGATAACAACAGAAAATAGAGCTTGGATATTTACCAACAAATTAATTATTACATGATCTAGACTGATTTAAATATGTCCCAATAGTATCATTTGTGGATAGGATATCCCGTTGAATAGTCAAAAATTATATTAGTTAAACACAGAAGCATTTACCAATGACTTTTTATCTCTTTTTAAATTAGAAACAACAAGTCTTGAACTCTTTGACTTCCATTCAGTTGTACCAAACCTACGACGTGTAGGACCTGTAAAGTAAAATAATGTAGAAAAAGAGAAATGTACAACCAATTGCTGATGTTAAACTAGAAACATATTATTTTCAGAATAGACAAGACATTTTCTACAATTTAAAAGACTATTGAAAATAGGAGTAAGATTAATAGAATATGTGACGACGGACCACGGGTGAACTCGAGGAAGTTGTAGGAGGCTCAGAAGGAGCCGAAGATATTCCATCCAATCACTTTTCGGTAGAATATTCTAGAATTCCAACATGTAGCTTCCCGATTGAACAATGATAATAACCCCCTGTATGCGGATTGGAGGACTGTAATGATGATTTCGTTCTTACTAAAATCTATAAATCCTTGACAATTTTGTACTATAATTGACACCGTTTGGAATAATATTCCTTTCATTAGTCTTCTGTCTTCTCCTTGCGACTTGGAAGGCTTTTGGTGTTCTGGTGCTCAGTTATACGCGGTATATCAAGGGAACAACCTTCTAGATATAACAGAATATGTGTTTATAACTATATTTCCGTTTCCACTGTGCTTGAAGATTGACTAAATACTTACATAGTTAAAGGTAGGTAGATGAGAATTTATTTCTACACCTATGTGAAAGGAATACTACTTACTGTTAGCTTTATGGAAAGATTCTTACTTCCAAACCTGTAGACCGAAGAAGATTATATTAAAGCTCGATTACCTTGTACCACAACCAGATGTCATACTATATATATGCATACATACATTACAGAAAATCTTTAAATGTAACAGGAAGAAAAACAACAATTTATATTCTGGTGGTCGTAGATGCACTTAGCTATTGAGATATAGTAACTTATAGTTTTTTGATAATATAAACCGTAACATCTTCTGAGAACACTTAAACCTCTTGAGCTTTCTTCATAATACTTTCAAAAACTGATGGAAGCTAACAGTAATTTCAATGTTCAATTGGAGGATGTAAGTAAATGACAACTGAGTATATTGGGATATGTTTTAAAAAATCTGACAATTAAAAAACCTGATAAATTCTATCAACTGAAATAATAGACTGGGAAGATTGCTAAATTAGTGGAAAGGTTTGAACTGTAAGTCTGGTCAACACTGCATTGAAATGCCCAAACTATAACAATACATAGGAAAGCATAAACTGATGGTCAGATACGTTAACTGACACACTTTAGAATCAGAAGGAGTGATTCACTGGTAATCACTCCTCCATTTTCTAGGAATAGATAATCTAATACTATTTACGTGAAAAATTACGTTTTTAACCCTTTCTGATTTTCTTGTTTCGGAAAGAATTATGATAGTGATGGAAACTTATACTAATTAAAATTTATTAACCTTATTGGTAGGTGTTGATGAGAGTAGCCAGTATGAACTAACCATAAATACAAGTTAACATATTAATGATCTAGTTCTAGACTGATAAATTCCTTTACTATAACAGTTAAAATTCATCAACAATACGCCTTAACTGCTAAAGTTATATATACAGATAAGAGTGAAATGATAAGAACTTATAGAGTATGAACGAACTTTTTGGATTGATACATGATTTCTACTGGAAAAACATCTTACATTAATTACTTCAACAAAGCGGAAACGACATAATTTACTGTTAACATTTGTAAAGCGAAACAATTGCATGGTATCTCAGTTACGTCAAACTCAACTAGTGAATGCACGAGTTGTGGCAGATTTCAGGAAAAATACCACCCAATCTACTCCAATATAACTGAACTTACAGAAATACTTTTGGTATATGAAAATAACTCGTTCCTCAAAGAAAATACACAAAGTTCTTGCAAAAAGTTATGGCTTGTATGACTACAAAATGTCTCGAATCAAAAACGAATGCTCACAAATAATCACAATTAGTATGCAGTAAAAATTACTTAAATGTTATTGTTAATCCCTAAAAATAATGGAACTAAACAATCTCAACTATATCAAGAATTGCAATTTGTAACACATATTGTTTAAATGACAGCCAGTGATCAATGGTAGAACGTCCGCATTAGAAAATGAAGACAGATTTTTGCAAGTCGAAGTTAAGTAATACGCTCCATCTGGTACTCTGGTTTAAACTTGATTAATGCGAATAGTCGAATTATTCAAATTTCAATCGATGAGATCATTTTAATACATTTTTTACATAGAATATCCTTTATACACTGGGAGCCCAATTTTTGTCAGACTATTCGCTCAAATATTAACAAATGCTCACATAGAGGCGAGTAAATTACCTAGTGAATCTTTTTACATAGCAAAAACAAATATTCAACCTACTGGGCATACTCCATGTTGGATCATCGTCATCATTCTTGGTTTTTCTCTTCCTACTTGCTTGGTATAGAGTAGATATCCCCTTCTGTCTTTTTGTTACCGAACATTCAGCTTTTGATTTCATCTTAGCGTTATCGCCATCATCACTTTCTGAGTCACTTAATGTCAAATAATCTTTTTTTTTAAAAAATATTATTATGAGTAGACAGTGAAGAAAATATCATTTTACTCAAAGTTACATAGAAAAATTAGTTCCAAATTAAAAACATGATGTTATTACAAGTCTTAATCATTTATAAAACCACCGAAAAATAGAGCGAAAGGCTGAATATCTACTACAATCAATTTAATTATGCGTTATAAACATTCACCTTTTATCCATCTCACTCCGAATAAAATAAAATGAGAAGGCATCACGATTTGTAGCGTGCACGTTACACTTGAACTCATAAAACAGATCATAAAGATACTTTAATCCTACTCTTGCTAATTTAAACAACAGATACACAGAGTATCCCTCATGAATTTAGTTTTTATTAGCATAAAGAGTATTTAAGGTCAAATAGTCTTATAAATAGATCAAAGAGTGTCTGATCCATCTTGTTCCTTAATTTGTAACTGAATGATCTAAATTATCGATAGGATTTTTCCATATTTTACATTTATAAACGTGATAAGTGGCAAACTACATCAACATCATAATTTGGAATTATGATAGGTAACATTTAATAAGAAACTGACAACAAAACATTCTCTTAAATGTAACACAAACTTCGTATAACCTTCAGTTAAACTTAATAATTACAAGCAATTTAGTAACTGAATAAACAAATATACTGTGGTATGTGTTACTGATGTCGACAGATCTAAGTGGTATGCATCACTATTCGAAAGTGAAATGCCTAGAGGCAGAAGGTTAAGAAGATCGAAGAAAAGAGGACAAGAACAGAGAATGATTGGTGTAGAAACAAAGTAACAATAAAGTCTGAGACGATTGATTGACATTCTGAAAATGAAATATTTACTGTATGGTTCTCAGATTCTACTACGACGTTTTGTAATTTTGTGTTCAAATACATTCGATTGTCCTCACTTGTGTTCTCGTTCACTACAATACCATATTTTGTGAATAATAAATGGAGATACTGCTTGACAGTTTAAACGTTAGTCGATGAGGAATTTATCATTGTAATACGATAGTGGAATGTTAAATACTGAAACTCCGGAATTATAGTTCCATAATAGCCTACAAATTTATAAGTGATTAAACAATACCCATGTGACTTGATTTTCCTAATTTAAGACAGAAGGTCTGGAACAGTACATGGGGGATAATTTAGCAGCAACAGGACTTTATGCAGAAGGTTGAAATCATGTTTTCTTCCATTTCTGTACAAGTTAGGGACGTTTGAAATATGGCAATCACCTTCACATTTTGTGAACAATATTAGTTATATTGGTTTACGTTTTTATTTTCACCTTTTCTCGATTCAAGATGTTAAGAAATAAGATCGTGAATGTAGAATATAGATAATTTTATTTAGCTAGCATTCTTTACCTTTTCATCACAGAATAAATACAATGAATGATGGAAATAAGTTCGTCAGTGTTATGCCTTATCCCTCTTTATGCTTAATTTTAATACTAAGGTCCCATGCGACTCAGTTAACTAAGAAACTTTGTGGCAATGTTTGCCATTGAAAGGTACACTAGAGAAGTACAGTAACTTTGTGAAGGCTTTCTACTTGAACATTATTGACAATCCTAGAGCCTATGAATAACAATTATCAGTGTTTGTCAAAGTTGTTTACTACCCTACTTTTTATTTGGTTTCATCACAAATCTCCTCCCTAAAAATCACTCTTCATTTGACTTTTTAGGGATCGGTATGCTTCCTGGAAACCAACTTAATAACATGGCGTGTACAGATTATATGGCTCTGTTTAGTGAAAATGTTGAAGAAATCCGAACTTTTCTGATCAACTCCAGTAACAATGCACGTAATTAGGGATACGTTTTTTTGAGCCATTGTCTAGATCGGTCATAAGCAGTGAAGTAGTTGAGTGCGCTGACCACTCCACTTTTCTTGGAAATCTGATCAGCTCCGATGAGTTGACACCTGATGAAATCCCAGAACGGATTCAGAAAGCCCAGTTAACATTTTCCAACTTGAGTCACTTGTCATTTAGATGAGGTGTCCGTCTCCCAACCAAAGAACGAATATACTCCGCATCAATTTGATCTCTCCTACTCTGATTGTGAAACGTAGCTTATGAAAGCATGAGATGTCCGTATGCTGAAAGTATTTGGTGATGGCTGTCTTCGAAGTAGCGCTTATGTGTGCTGGGACAATCTAGTGAAAGATGTTGAGGTTAAACAAAGAGTACTGAGTAAAGATGCTAAACTGGCTGATGAGTTAGTAAATCATTATCAACTGAAGTGATTAAGAAAAGTAATACGTATCAGTTGGGGAAGCTAGATCGCCAGAAACCATTTAGTAAACGTCTCATTTTTGCAATTTTATTTTGGAAATTTGAATTTCTCATTTTCGCGCCAAAATCACCTTTACCTGTATTTCCTACATCACTTACGCGTGTTATTCCTCATGGAGGAGCATAGGCCGCCAACCAGCACTCTCCATCCTTCCTAGTTGCTACTCATCTTTTTTATGCCTGCTTCCAATTCCCGACGTAGTGTGTTCTTCGGCCTTCTTCTTTTCCGTTTCCTTTCAGAATTCCAAGTTAGGGCTTGCTTCGTGATTCAATTAGTGATTTCTGCAATGTATGTACTAACCACCTCCAATGTATTTTCCTGATTTCCTCTTTAACGTTTCCCACATGGAAGGACCTTAAATGGTTCGTTTCCTCTTTTAGTACACTGTTTTGTGACGTTTTCCAAGAATACTTTTGCACTGTATATATGTGCATGAGCTGTGTGTTTGTTTGCTCGTGCTTCCGACTGCCCGAGTAATATGCATTTCATTCGACTGAATCTGGTCTTCTACCTCTTGTTAGCAGGGCGAGGGTACAGTGGAATAGCATAGCTTGTCTCGTTGTAGTGTTACTGACTTTCGTCCCGTCCGCCGGTTTTAGGTGATATCGTAATCTCTCCAAACGTAGCAGTATCTCAAACTTCACCTGTCTCGTTGCACGTCAATAGCTGGTGTAGAAGTACGTTGAAGGACAGCAGAGAGAGGCCAAACTAAGACTTGGCATTAGTCCATGGAGTCATTGATTATTGGTCTAAGCAGTGTTTGTAGGTCTAGACTACCTGGCTGTTGTCAGGGTGATAACTACGATCCGTAGTAAGACATTGGGTGACATGGTTCGGAATTGATCCCAGTGAAGTAGATGGATCCACTTTTTATATTCATCCAGGTCTTGAGTTCTAGCACTCCTCCAGACATACCTTGCTATCTCTTAGAACCATCTCCACAATATTTAGTATATCTCATCATTCCTACTATATTATTTAGTCTCCTTGCTACATAGCTTGTGAAACTTACCTCGTTGTACTGTGGGAGGACAAATTGGGGTAATGAACGTTTGTGGTAGGCTCTACGTTAATTATGACTAACTGAAAACCAGGTAAAATTCCGAGAATAACCATTATATCAAAGACGATAAAACTGGTGATAAGACATAACCAATACCATCTATAGAAGAAATTTGAAATCTCTAATCCATCGGTTGTCTTTTTACTAATGTAAATAATATGTAGCTGAAAGTTAATCAGTTAATATCAGTTATGCAATGAGAGGAAGAATAATATTAAGCATACATAAATAATCATTCATACATACAATGGTCTCCGATTAATCGACTTTTTTCCAAACCCGGTAGTGCTTCAAGGATATCTACATCATCAGTAATCTCGTGTTTTTCGTTCTCATTTCCTTTTTTCAAGCGCTTTGGTTCACGTAAATTTTGGGAATAAGTTTGTCTATTTGGCATCCAGCCTAGACCTCCAGTATGTCTATCTTTAAGTTCCCAGTTAGTTTCCTTACCTAACTCACGGTTCAAACATTCTATACTTTTAGCATTTGAGAAGCTTTTAATTGCTCGTCCATTCGATCTATAACCAAAAACATGGAAAAGAAGTTATATATATATATGATAGTGAGGGGGTATCAGCCTGACAGAAACTTATCCAATTATTTAGAAGAGGAAAATTGCTATGAAAAGTTGATATTAATAGTGAGATTTCTGTTTGAATCGCATATATATTATATGGTGAATCATAAATGAGGTATTGCGGGATAATATCAATTATCTGAGGTAAATCTACTATGAAGTATGTAATTGATTTTAGTGAACTATTAGGAATATAAATCAAACCGCTTCGTTGAGTTTATTATTTTCATACCACCTGTATTAGAAAGTAGTACATTCTAGAATGAAAATAAAAAAATGAATGATGGTTCTTGACTTTTTAGATTATGTGATTTATAATGATTAATTTTTATAACCCTGTACTACTACTGTCATCTAAATTTTTAATCCAAACCCAAAGCTTGAGTTGTGATATCTTGAGGCTTACCAGTAAATAATGTAATCACCACACAGAGACGTCAATGAAATTAGAGAGATCTTATATGTTCACCCTATTATTTCAATGAAAAAGAAGTGAAAATTTAAAGCGTAAACTGATTTGTGAAACAGAAACTAAGGAGTAACAACTCACTTGGAATGCTTTGAAAATATCTCTGATTTGGAATAATCTGCTAAAAAACCTGAGTTTTTTGTTGAATGTGATAATATTGAATTTACGACCTCAGACAGTCTTTCAATGAGACTTGGACATAACATGTCTAACTGACTTTGATTCGGAAGAAAGTAATCTCTTTCTTCTGGTGGGAGCTTAAAATAAATGAAAACCGGGGAGATAAGATGATTCTCAATGAAAACGGTAAACTAAGGAAAAGTCAGGAAAACATGTACAACTGAAAGAACCAACACTTATATACTATCACCATATTGATCCAAACATAAACAATATGATAAATCACCTGGACAATAAATTCGTGCACTTGTCCAAACTGCTACAATTCCCAACAGAACACAATAAGGGAAATAATGGGGTAAAAAATACACAAAACATTGTTAAAAACAATGAAATAGAAGAAAAATTATAGGGTATCGGTAAGACCGAGACTCATAGAAAAATAGACAATGGATCCATTTACACTACTACCACTAACTCCAGACTATGTAGGGTCCCCAATCATAAGTCATGGTTAACCTATGAACACCAACAATGAAGTATCCAGTCACTGATACGACCGAAGAACTGAGTGTCCTTATTTATACAATAGTTGGTTCTGAAACTAGTGATTTCTTGAAAAAAAACACCGATAACGACAAATCTGCAGTTTTGACACAAAATAGTTTTATTATAGTAAGTTTCAACAGTTGTATTTACAACTTTATATTTAACAGTCCATAACCGTGTCAATAAATATTTATTTGTGAACACCACAGTTTTTCGAGTGAGACAACATGATTTTAAAAGCAGTATCATAATTCGACACTTACTATCATTTAAATGGAAAGTTGTTTAGACCTCTTAAGGGATGACTCTTTCGACTGAAGGGAAAATTGTCACATAACTAAGTTTAACAGATTTCAGATAACTATTTATTAAGAGAACCCTAAGTATACCTCCAAGTTAGAAAATAGACGAGGGTAGAATTTAATACATAAGAATTTTCTACTATTGGTTGGTAAACGTATTGATTAGACCATTAGCAAACCAACTAGCTGCACGGATGTTTATATATTTTCCTCGATAATATTTTTCCATTATGTACTAACAACTAGTAGTGTAACCTAGAAATGAGAGATCTTAGATGAGATTCCGTAAAGCGCAGGTGCGTGCAGCTGAGCACCTACGTCTATAAATAGACGTAAATTCCTTAATGTATTAGACATTACTAAGTAACACAAAACTTATGAATGATGAAGCCAGACGATTGAAGAAATACTTGAGATTTATAACTTGGGATGAGACATTCAGCAAATATAAACAGACTCAACGATATATGATGGAAAGTTGTTTTTAAGCGAGTTTCAGTGGAATTTACATCATATAGAAATTCGAATCTGAACGCTTGAGCCACAAGTGCGACGCACTACTCCTGTCCCATAAATGGTCCGTTTTCCGAGTTGTTGACATCGTACAAAAACTGTGTGATAATATTCTTCCATTATCAATTGTGAAAATCTAATTGGATTTTCCAAGTATTAAAGATTCCCATTGTGAAAATTAGAACAACACATATAAGCGAACAATTGTTTTCAATTAGATCACCATCAGGCTTTATTCTAGTATACAGTAATAGTGATACGAAAATGTTAAACCAATCAAGGCAATTCGGGTCAGTAATTACAATTAACTCGTGAATGAAATCCTATACTGATTGTGGGAACACAGATTAGAAATTACACCGCATTACACACCTATACATCGAGTTTTATACTTGGTGAAAAACCTAGATTTTTTATCATAATTAAAATTGCAACCCTTTCATGATGATCATTCGGTGATATTTAACAATGCGAAATATATGGAGAATAAATAAAAAAGAGCATTAACATAATCTAATATTAGAAATGTAGTTTGTTATAAAACATTCAGTTACCAAATGTCTTTTAGAATACCACAAAGGAAGAACTTTAGCTAAGCATTCAGCCGCCTCTACGTCGAAAATAACGGGATTTTCGCCATCAGTTAAGTTGTCTACAATAATAGTGAAAATTTAAAAAATTTCGTGTTGTTGGAGGGAATGAAATATATGGCACAATAATCTAATAAACTATATCGCTGAAATATATTGACTGAGATACTTACTAGTTAGTCTGTCCAGGAGACATTGGCTATAAAACCAGTGAACTTTCTCAAAATTAGGGAACAGAAATTTCATTGGGGTTTTGCATTTTTGTTCCATGCGATAAATTCTACAGTAAGAACAGTACAAACTAAACTAAGGAATTAGTATAAAAGGTTGTTTAGTAATCAAATAACATTAGAACCGAGTGTAAATAATGAGCCACTCGTAATTTATCTCCGTTCTTCAGATTATTTCTTTCCAATTCTCAATAACTGTTCACTCCAACCAACATTTACCAGTTTCAATAATTTTCATGTCCAACTTGTATCAAAGGAAATATAATGAAAACTAGTTTTCTTGACTCGTTACAACAGTGCTTCAAAAGCCGTTTGACTTTTAATGCTTACAACTTAAATCAAATGAAACAGTAGGCTCTGCTGGCCAACTTCTAGCATGGTTGGTTGTAAATTGATTGTGTTACCACAATACATACGTCATGGAGGTAAGACAATTTCCATGACAACCCGGCGAATACAGTGGCTGTCTACAGTCAGTCAGTCCAACAACGTAGAACTTCGAACGTACGTACGTACATCAGTCCGAGTTGCCATACCACATTAGCACAGAGATTCAGTTATCGATTCAAATCCCGTAGTGGTAGAGGTAGCAAAAGTATAAGCAGTAATCGGAAAGACTACGGTTCGAAGATGTTACTCAAGGAGTATAATACAGTGAAATAAAGTTGGAAAGAGAAATAAGGGACATGAAAAATTCGGAAGATTATAATTTAAGAGAACACAAAGAGTGGATGCGCCTGTGTTATTGTAAACGATTTTGAGCCATGTCATTCAAAGCCTCTAACCATTGGTTGCTATCGTCTCACGGATCCCAACCAGGTAGTCTACACCTACCAACATGGCTCAGTCCACCGACTGCCCCGATGTGCCATGCTTCATGGTGTAGGAGTAAGATGGAAGAAAACTAGAGGCGGCCAGACCAAAACATGGCACAAATCCATGAAGTCACTGACAAGTGGATTGAATATCATCACAAATATAATGAAAATGATGATATTCAGTTCACTTGTCAGTGACTTCATGGATTTGTGCCATGTTTTGGTCTGGCCGCCTCTAGTTTTCTTCCATCTTACTCCTACACCATGAAGCATGGCACATCGAGGCAGTCGGTGGTTAGGCATACGTAACACGTGTCCCAGCCATCTCAACTGATTAAGTTTCACTACTTCATCACTTGATTTGCCATCCTTACCTAGTACCCGTTTCCTAACAACTGAGTTACTTACTCGGTGGTCCCAGGATATATGAGCAATGTTTCGGAGACATCTATGATCAAATACTAGTAACCTAAGAATATCCTCTACTCTTGCCGGCCATGTTTCGCAACCATAAAGTAGAACGGAACGAACTGCTGCGCAGTAAACACATCTTTTGATTGGTAGACGGATATCTCGCCTACGCCATAAAGGGCTCAAGTTGGCAAAAGCTAGTTGAGCCCTCTGTATCCATGCTGAGATTTCGTCACACGCCAGACCACAAGGGCTGATGAGACTTTCAAGATAAATGAAGCGGTCGACACCCAATCTTGAAGCAACATTTTGCATTTCAAGGGGGAGAATCGCATCCCAAACATACCTTCACTGTTGCTTAGAGTGGTCAGAAGACTGCATTTTGTCAGCGTCATCACCAAATAGAACTATGTTACCGGTTGTCAGTGACTGCCTACAACTAAATGTACTGCATAAAATCTCAACCTGTAAATAGACTTACGTTTATAGTGAAGCAACAAAATGACTAGGTGTTCATCTTAAAGATGAATATCATGCAACGGTTTTTAGTATGATATTATTTTATTATTATTATTTATTTTAACACATAGATATCGGTACAAGAAAGCACCAAATACATATGCGCCACACAAATCTCAATTGATTTGTGTGAGGGCTGTGATACTGCCCGGGTGCCCAAACCGAAGCAGGTGGTTGTCTTAGGGGGCCACACCCCGAGCCTTTGACCTGAACGTCTGATCCACAAGGCAGTGGAGCATCGTGAGGAGATGCAGTCCCATGGTAGCCGGTGGCCAACGATTGGTTCATACGCCATTTGTTCCCGTAGGATACTGGAGCCCATGTGCACCATTGATTTTTGGGGTCCGGTTAAAGCGCCAGACATTCGCTTTTCATCCTCTCATTTTCGTAAACAACACCCCCGCCACGTGAAGGCAGTGAGTAGGACTTCCCTGGCAGGGCTATGTAAGCGTGGCCATGTGAGAGCATTTCGAGAGGGGGAGCGGACTCCCCCCACTCTCGGCCATACCAGGGCATTTGTCTAGACAATTAAATAAGCGCCTGAAGAAACTGCTTTGAACGATATTTTGTTCAGATCTACTCTTACAAAGTAGTTGGAACTCAAATATGACGAACAAGCCTTACTAAAATCGATCAAACTTACTAAGAATAAAGACATAATATGATGTGACCACGAGAGTTGGTCAGGCCAGAAAAATGATTAAGTAATTTGTCTAAAAGTTAGGATGATCGCTGTTACTCACCTTCTGGCATTAACAGTTTTTGAACAGTATAAAATTTAACCACAGGACAAAACGGTTTTTTATTATGGCTGGTTAATATCCATCGCATACAAGAAGATAGGATATTGTTATGAAGTTGGATAAACTGAAAACTAACCTTACATTAATACATTGGCAAGACAAAATAGTGTTGCTCTTGTTAAACCTAACTCTTTCTCTGTATATCTACATATATGGAGAGTTGAGAAATTGGGTAGCTGTGGTATACTTCAAAGATTAACAAACCACTCATTTAAAGGAAAATCAAAGACAGGGATTACATTTATCTTGGACTTAAATCGAGTTAATCTGTCAAAAACAAAAATAATTCTGAATCTTTATTGAAACATGAACTCGGCTACATTGAGTCGATACGGGGAGCTGAGAAATATTTTTGCTGACACCGTGATTTAGATCAGTAGTCAAATGTGTACTTGATTAATGAATAGCATGTAAAAACAAGTCAAAATTTTTCCGTAACTCACGAGGCTTATAGATCCCAAAAAAATGTTAACTAATTGACTTTACAAACTCGGTATCTTTTAAAATAAAATCCTAACAAAACCATGCACTAGACAATCCCACATGAGGTGGGATAATTGTCTAGTACGTATAATCCTAATTTTTTTGCGCAGAATCCCAGACAATAAATCGGATATCTAGCATTGGAATCGTATAATAACCAATGCTGACTAATAATAAGTTCAGAATTACGTCACTAAACCCCATTTTATTATTTTAGAACCGAAGTGAATAGTTAACGTCCTAAAATATAACCACCTAAACGTTTACGAAACAATAATTAATCACAGTTTAAATATGAAGCAAGTAATGAGGTCATTTAAATATACCTCAGTAACCTACCTGAGTTGCATAGATACATGCAATCCACTCAGGAAATTTCCTCCAAAAACTAGACAGTCAGAAGGCGTGTAAACAGCGTGGATCCAACCAGATGGCAAGAAGACTGTTTGGCCGGGTAAAATGTGAAGGCAGTACACTGTAGGTCTATTTACGTTACTAGTTGATTCTAGAAAAGTAATTCAGAGCTATGTTCCACAATGCACAGACTAATGCTTACCTTGCTCCCGAAGACTAGCCACAAAGTCTGGGAAGAATGTCGCCCTATGATTGCTGCTCATACACCATCGCCAATAAGCAGAAACAAACTCGGGTGTAGGCGGCATCAAGTAAAACACTTTTTCACCCTATGCTCATATACCTCACAATGAATAGAAAAACCTACCCACATAATATGGTACCAAACAGATGATCCACCGAAATCTATATGGAAGTCAGTATAACTGCCTTTCATACTTAAAAGACAGTATTTCTGGACACTTGGTGCAGTCTCGCCGACAAATTCGATATCTTTAAGGTCGTTAGGGTCATCTTCCGGCCAACAGGTTGTGACAAGGCTGAGTTCCGAAACGACATGCGGAGGATGTACAAACTTTGCCAGGCTACTTTTAATGTAAAGACAACATATGTTACCTGGTTCTTGAAAACTCCAGACTCAGCATGTTTAACAATACTTGTCGACGAGGTGAGGAAAAGTGATCAACTAGCTCTTGGAGTGTCATTTGTATTTCGACTTGCTGACGGACGTCGATGACATCAACCTGAATACTAGGATCTAAAACCGATTACCTTTATGGACTTCCAGTACCTATAAACCTGGTTAAATCTGTATGAGAGAATGAGTCTAGCGGGACCTTAATTCTTAGGCCGTCTTTTGATCGTACCAAAACGGGCTTTGCGAAACCATTCGCTTTAAAACTATGCCCACTAACATCACAACCATTCATAATAAGTACCTGATCATCAGCACTATACTACATATTAAGATAGGAAACTAAGTACCTTGTAAATTCACGAGCTAGCAGCATATCGACGAACTCCTTCGACCCTGAAAGAGCCATTAGAAGGTTGAGGAGATGAATTAGAAAATCCTAAGCGAAATGGAATCGCGCGGACATTAATTTATTGGGTGCAGCGCTAATACCATAATACGCGCAACAATACATACCGATGGAATAATGAGTATTGCAACCTATTTCGAAAAACCTTTTTCCCATATGAGGAATTACATCAACTTGATAGAAAAACATTGCTTTTCTCGTTTTCTTTGTAAGAGGCAGCATGAAAATCTACTCAAATTGATAAAATCATTCTTTAGTAATCAGAGTGATTTAACAACGGCTCTTTGTGAACAAAAAGGTATCATTCACACTAACAGACAGTTATTAACTCAGTCGACATTTATTTTTCCACTTATGGGATGCTTTCGGAAGCTGATGTCAACTAGTTCGTTAATGACGAGAGGCGTCTAATAACATGTAGATTTAATCATTTTCATGACTAGAATAAGTATCATATATCCACATTCTGTATGACATTGTATGTGCAATTATATTTGCGCCCAAAGTCTCATTTCTTTGTATTTGTTTTGACAAAACTATACCCGTAACTACTCTATGCATCCTTTACTTTTGTGGCTCAAATTAAAAACACTGTCTACGTAGTTCCGCTTTCTGCTCCATTGACTTTCGACTGAAGAGCACAATAAGTCCGAAACATCTTTTAAAGACCTCCTTCCACAGAGTGGGACTATTCGCCTAGATTATTTCTCAGTAACGCCGCAGGAAGATATTTAATAAATGAGCGAACTGAACTCTAGTCAGCTATCCCCAAAAGCATCTTTAATTGACATTCTATATATCACCAGTTTAAGTGTCTTATACTGATGATTAATGCCTACTGGAGTCGGACAGGGAAGTGTGACCTCCAAGTTTGCATTGAAGTAACACCTCGCGATTAATATCTACCGTAGATTACCCTCACCTGCGACATACTAATACTGTGGTTGCTCTGATGACATCGCATAATCTTAAACTACTACTTTTAACATGAAATCATAATACGATAATTTTCTGGCTAGTTCCATTTGTAATGCACATAATACTATTTACACTTTTATCAACATATTAAATTATTTACACATAGTTTCTAACGTCAGCTTAATATTTTTTCTAAATACCACAGAACCTGTTTAAGTATGGTAAGTATTGTGTAAACACTATTGAAACCCTTATGTATAGTTGCGCTTGTGATGAACACCAGAATGATTTTTTCACATTACTTGTGTATGACCAAGTTTGTGAGTATTAATAAAAATATTAAAGTATGGTATCTATAATTTGGTATCTTCTCTGTTTAACTTGTCACTTGGTTGCATCAAAATGAGTGAATTTTGTACTTTATTCGAAGAGAGCACTTCTTGAGTGTTTATCAGTGAGTATGCTGTAGGCCAAAAAAGTCTGCTAAGACTAGCATTATGACACCGGATCCAACTAGTGGGTTGTAACGCTGAATATTTGGGAATCAGGGTAGGAAGAAGCAGAGTGAAGACAGGTGACAAGATATAAACAGATTTGTTAATCAAACAAGTTTGAGAATGAACGGCCAGAATAGCATATTTATAGAGGAAGATAAACAGATATGATTAAAAACGAGACCGTAAAATCAAAAAGTATGTAGTATAGTAGCACCATTTCATGAATTGCTTAACTCATATTTGACATAATAAATATTGAACGATGTCACTGTTTGAATCTGCTATGAAATGTTAATAACATTTTGTTTTGTCCACTTGATAGTTTATCTGTACGCTTCACAACATCGTATTCTACCGGCAAGTATAAAGTATACTTCATGATCGTAACATATCTTGGACTTCTGTTACAGCAAATTCCGTACTCATGGTTTATCGTTATCCATCTAGGAGGATACTCGTTTTACGCCAGGACTTAAATAAACAAAAAGAAACCGCTATTATATTAAATTCTGTATAGCTTCTAGCTTTCTCGCAAACACCCGTACTTTTCTACAGATAAATCAAAAACACCATGTTTCGGATGAGTGTGAACCTGATCATCAACATTAGGATTATAAACTATACTGAATACTTAGACGAACAATATCACCAGGCTATACCACTAAAAGAGCTAATAGACAAAAGGTAGTAGGACTAACACCTAAAAACACAAATAAAAAATACTACGTGGTATACCGTATTCTAAGCTCAATCTCATCAGAAACTCCCTTAGTGAATCTCGAGAGACGTTCGTTCTTGGAAGAAACATCATTGTGCAAGATGTCTCAGGGAACACGGACCCTGAATAAGCAGATTACAATATTTCAGGGTGGTATTGTAGCGGCATTGGGCCCTACCACGAGACAATATGAGAAATAGACATTAAACATTTAACGCGGAGAAATACAGAAGACTGGAGAAGGCGGGAATAATAAATTGAATTAATACGAGTTAATCTGATGGCATGGCTCGGCCTTGCAGGCGTGGTCCCATCTGAATGTTATCTTGTGTCTTCTATTCATATTAAATATATTGTATCTCTAGCCTAAGCTCGTTCTCTATCACGTATTGGTAATTGTTACAATGCGATGAATCGGTGTAGACGATGATGTAACTTCCACGTAAGATCTTATAGATTAGGCAGTTACATCATGATAAATCTACAATTTTAGGATTAGGTCTATTATTAGAGCAGTGCTAATATCATAATAGACCATAATTCTAAATTAGTGAGCCCGACTCAAGAAACGCAGCCTCTAATTCTTCATCCATATTTCCACTTTAACTTTTTCGATCGATATTTATTTATGTAAACCCATTATTCTAGTAGTCCTCTGATTAATGCTCATATGTATTATCTTAACGCTATATTGATTATTACTCATAACTTACTAGCTTAATCAATAATAAAAACTGATCATCTACATTAACTAAGTAGCTTTGATGGTTCGTTAACAAGCTTTAATAGCATTAACATGCTTCAGCGAAACAAACTTGTTATAACATCAAGCTCTAGCAAATATGACCTGTAAATAACCTAAATATACATTGGCTAACAATGCAATCAAGGACTAAATAGTTATCTGGATCTGATTCTTAGTGTTCCTTCACTTAACACATTCTATTTTTAAACTATACACTATCCTGCAATATCTTTTCTTCTGACCACTGCCTGCCTAATTTCCAATTGCTGAATTCCATGGCCAAACAGGATGCAAATGCCAGAAATTTACGGTGAGTTTGAACTATAGATTTCCTGCAATCTTAGATCTCGTTTAGACTGTTCGTCAGGCAATGCTACATATTTGGCTTAAATTAATTTTGAACTTACACAAATCCAGTTTTCAATGCTGGGTTAATCCAAGAATTTAGTCGACATTATCTCGTGTATAGTCCAGATTCGAATTACTGTCCAATTCAAATCATCATTACTTGGAAGCGAAAACAACCCAGGCGACTTTTACTTTTTCCCTTTCCTGGTTCATTTATTATGATTTAAGTACTTCTTAACTTAGATTTTTTCTGTTAGACTGGTTTTGTATATTTCATACAAGCCACTCCCAGGACTAAGTAGAAATATTTAATACTTTTATACCACAACAGTCTATTAAGAAAACGTGCTGTTTAAAGGCATTTCTTATTTATAGTTCCCTTTGCACACATTTATAAATATCGCTAGGTTAACTACAGCGACGTCTTATGTAAAGTTTATAACTCGTCATATTCTTAACTGAAATTCCATAAGTCGTCTCGATTTAGAAAAATATTTTTCATTTTGGCCCTGTTTATTATTTTTAATTTGCCATATATCTCAACAACCTGCATGTTAATCTGGCCCGTACATGCATTGCATTATATCTCTATGCCTCTTAAATTTAAAAATCATCTGAATCGCCTTTAACATTTTCAATAAACCCGTCATAGACATTACTGCTATACGTATTTGGGTTTACGAATTGGTCTAGTGTATTAGCAGCCTAAAAAGACGAACACTTAGAGGATAATAAAGTCACCAAATCTAGGTATTATCATACTGCACTAATTTAATAACTAAATTCTCATGTTGTTCGAAAAACAAATATTTAAAATTAAATTTACGAAACATTATGTACACGAATATATTTAAATTACCATTAGTAATATAAACAGGTAACTCGGATTCGTTCACGTTACGAATTTCTGATAATTTTGAATCACACAAAGTAACAGCATCTATTTTTCACTGACTAATCCTCAATCAACACTATAGCTGGATAAACATAATGATTTCAGGACATCGTCATAAAGCATTGTCATATCTTGACAATCACGTAATATGATTGATAAAATTGATGAACTTATTAACAAAATCGGTCAGAAAATTGACTTGTAATTATCAACAAACAGTGTTGTTTTCTCGGTATCTTTGTCCATTACAGATGATTTCCAGTACGTTTCTCTATCAGTTGCTCATTCAGTAAATATCTCAAAACCTTGTCAGTCTAACTGGAGGTTTAGCGACACAATCATGCATGAAAATCATCAGTATAAGCAGTCGAGCAAATCTCCTGCAAACTGAAAACATAAATGTCGAACTTACCCCAACACTGACTAAGGTTCAAGCCATTATCATAGACATGAGTTGGGAATGTACTCCCCTTGGTTACAACTTATGTTCTTCCTGATAATTACATGGGCATCACTCGCTGTTAATCATCTTGTAAAAACTTGTTCAGACGAATACATCTTGCAGCACCACATCACCTAGAAAGGTGGCACATAGGCTTAACTGATTTCAATTACTTATAATCATTATGTCTCAATGAAACAGCATTCCGTTTTATACTATGCTGACACTTGCAACTAACTTGTATGTACCATCAGCCGATAGGTATGAATATAAATAAATAGTCTATGGCAAATCAGAACATCTAGTCTAGAGCATATCGCTAACGGATACACTTGTAGATCACCGAGGGGATGATCTGTGTCGAAATGATTGGAGGCTTACTCGAGTTAGACGTGAGTGGTGTGACAAACTAGCTAACGTCGAAGTCACACTTCGCG